AATGCAAAAAAATAAAGTAAACGAGCCACAACGACCGGCAGCCTGCAAAGTGCGTCCTTTGGACGAAGGACACAGCTGACTCAAGACAGTCGGCTTTTCGTCATGGCCTACTTCCATACCGGATTTCGCCGATAATCCGATACTACCAGTTTGTAGTAAAACATACTATAAATTGGTTGCTGACTGAAACACCTGGGAGCTGGTCTACCTACCACAAAAAGTTCTTTGACTGCGGCTACCAGAGGTTTCTCCTCGTTCTCGTTTGTCCAAACATGCGGGTATTCGGCTCTCGTCCAATAAATCCTCGCAGCCCAGCGCCCGTTTGTCTTGGATGACCAGTTTCCAATTCATCTAGATTGCCCCCGTAAAACCGTGTGGTAAAATTACGTCAAGACGGTCTAATGCGAGTGGATTGTGGATGGTTGGAATAACGGCATTCTTTTCGATAATCGGGCAGTGGCGGCTGCTGTCTTCTGACCAGGTATGCGAGGAATTTTTGGCTTTTTTATTATTATTGTTATTGTTACTATCAACGGCACTACGGTATTTTTTATCGGTGTAATTATTATAAATATTATAGCATGTTGGCTTCATTTCGTACAGTTCATATCATATTCAGGCTTTCTAAGTTCGTCTGAATGAACTCGGAGAAATACTTGGATAAATCGGGATAAGTCAGGTCAGGTTGAAAAGAAATATTAAGAAATAGATCTTGAATTCTCGGAAAACGTAAAATCCATAGTATCTTATTTAGGATTTCAGAGATCTTAATTAATTTTCGATTCATCGCATCATTGTCGAAGTCCAGTTTAATATGTACTTCTGTAAATTCTTTTTTGTGCTCTTCATCGATTTTATGGAAAAGAGTGGTCGACAGGATTTCTCTACATGGAATTTGTGTTTTTGCCGCCAGCTCGTAATAGTTGAATAATTTTGTGAAATGCTTGGAATCAACAGCTTATAAAGGAATGCTGCACTAATAAAAAGCTTACTAATGCTTTAGTAATGACTACATCTTTGCAATCCTGTAACTTATCTATGGCAGCCGCAATTAAAAATTTTTATGTTTTAAACGCATTGAAAAAGTGATATAGGGTAAAGGGTTTATTTCAATATTGATCCTGAAAATTTCTGCTAAAAACGGAGACAAGGATGATCATGACTAACCGAATGTTGTGCATAGAAAGAGTGATTAAAAAATTCGTCAAAGGTTACTTTGACAGAACTTTCCACCCCCTTGAAGTATACTCGACCCACTATTAAATTTAACTTTGATGATGACCCAAAATGAGCTAAAATTAATATACAGAGCATCTTTTTAAAAGTGGCCAGAGGGATTCTCAGATTAAATAATATTGCAGGCATCTCCATTATTTTCTTAAAATTTGACAACAATCGGTTCAGCACAATTCATTTTTCAGGGTTTGTATGGAATTTCGCGATTTTTAATTTTTACTGGATTTTTTAATTTTTCATTTTTGATTATTCAATTTCTCGGTGTTCCGACTTTTCAATTTTTTAATAATTTAATTTTTCAGTTTTTCAATTTTTTGATTTAATATTTTTCAATTTTTCAATTTTTAGATATTTTAATTTTTATTTCTCAGTTTTTAATTTTTAAATTTTTCATGCCCGTTTGTACCACACTTTTAAACACGTAATTAACGCATTTTCTATTTTCAATTTCTCGAATTCTTAAACTCATTGTTGCAATTTTTCGATTTTTCAATTTTTTCCGATTTTTTGAACTATTTTTAGATTTTTCAGTTTTGAAGTTTTCAGTTTTTCAGTTTCTTAGTTTTTTCGATTTTCAATTTGTCGAATTTCAATACTTAAATTTTTCAATAAGCATTTCATTGTTGCAATGTTCGGATATTTACTCTCTCCAATTAAAACTTAGCTTTCTCAATTTTTATATATTTTCATTTTTCGTTGTTTTCTCATTTGGGACTTTTTTCGTCTCTCACTTATTAATTTTTCGATTTTTTGTTTTTTCCGATTTTTCAACTGTTTTTGGATTTTTCAATTTTAGTTCTTTAGTTTTTCGTTGATTTCAATTTTGGGAATTTTAATTTTTCAGTTTTCCAATGTTTCAATTTTCAATTTCTCGAATTTCAATAGCTAAATTTTTCGATATTTCATTGTTGCAGTTTTTCGATTTTTCAATTTTTTCCGATTTTCGAACTATTTTAAGATTTTTCAATGTTTAGTTCTTTAATTTGTCGTTGATCTCAATTTTGGGATTTAAGATTTTTCGGTTTTCCAGTTTTTCAATTTTTCGACTTTCAATTTGTCAAAATTTCAATACTTGAATTTTTCAATATTTCATTGACGCAATTTTTCGATTTTTCAATTTTTTCCCATTTTTGGACAATTTTTTAGATTTTTCAATTGTAGTTCTTTAATTTTTCCTTGGTTTCAACTTTGGCATTTTTAATTTTTCGGTCTTACAATTTTTGCAATTTTTCGATTTTCAATTTGTCGAATTTCAGTGGGTAATGTTTCGATATTTCCTTGTCGTAATTTTTTGAATTTTCAATTTTTTCGATTTTTGAACTAATATTTTTAGATTTTAGTTCTTTAATTTTCCTTTGTAAAATGTCAATTGTACTTAAATTTTTCGATTTTTCAATTTTTTCTGATTTTTGAATTATTTTTAGATTTTTCAATGTTTAGTTCTTTAATTTGTCGTCGATTTCAATTTTGGGATTTTAGATTTTTCGGTTTTCCAGTTTTTCAATTTTTCGAATTTCAATTTGTCAAATTTCAGTACTTAAATTTTTCACGATTTCATTGTCGCAATTTTTCGATTTTTCAATTTTTCCCATTTTTGAACTATTTTTATATTTTTCAATTGTAGTTCTTTAATTTTTCGTTGGTTTCAATTTTGGCATTTTTAATTTTTCAGTTTTTCGATTTTCAATTTGTGGAATTTCAATACGTAAATCTCCCGATATTTCATCGTTGTAATTTTTCGATTTTTGAATTTTTTCCGATTTTTGAACTCTTTCAATTTTGGTTCTTTATTTTTCGCTGATTTCAATTTTGGGATTTTTAATTTTTCGTTTTTCCTACTTTTCGATTTTCAAATTGTCGAATTTCAATACGTAAATCTTTCGATATTTCATTGTCGTAATTTTTGGATTTTTCAATTTTTTCCGATTTTTGAACTATTTTTAGATTTTAGTTCTTTAATTTTTCGTTGATTTTAATTTTGCGATTTTTAATTTTTCAGTTTTCCAATTTTCGATTTTCAATTTCTTATACTTAAAATTTTTCGATATTTCAATTTTTTCCGATTTCCGAACTATTTTTAGATTTTTCAATGTTTACTTCTTTAATTTTTCGTTGATTTCAATTTTGGCATTTTTAATTTTTCGGCCTTCCAATTTTTCTATTTTTCGATTTTTAATTTGTCGAATTTCAATATGTACGTAAATTTTTCGATATTTCGTTGTTGTAATTTTTCGATTTTTCGATTTTTTCCGATTTTTGAACTATTTTTAGATTTTAGGTCTTTAATTTTTCCTTGGTTTCAATTTGGGGATTTTAAGTTTCTCAGTTTTTTAATTTTTCGATCTTCAATTTCTTTCAATCCTTCATTGTTGCAATTTTTCTATATTTCGATTTTTAAATTTTTCAATTTCTCCTATTTTTGGATGATTTTTCGATATTTACTCTCTTGAATTAAAACTTCGATTTTTCAATTTTTATATATTTTAATTTTTCGTTATTTTCTAATTTGCGATTTTCTGTCTCTCAATTAAGTATTAATTTTTCTTTTTTTAATTTTTCGTTCTGTCAATTTCACGAGGTAGCAATTTTTAGATTTTTCATTTTTTCGATATTTTTTAATTTGGATCTAGTTTTCGGCTTCTACGTTCCCATTTTCAGATTTTTTGATTTTTTTGATTTTTCAATTTTTAACCGTAAAAAGTTTTTTTCAACAAAAAACTGCAGGCTTAGGATAATAACTCAAAATGGATTCATAAATTACACATACACGAACATGTTACTTTACACAATTTAAATTTAGAAATTATTTTTCGATTTTTACTTTCTCGAATTCAACTTTTTCGATTTTTCAATTTTCATATATGTACATATTTAAATTTTTAGTACTTTTCGATTATGCGACTTTTCATCTCCCAATTTTTATTTTTCGATTTCTAAATTTTTCGTTTCTTTATTTTTACGATTTTGCAATTTTTCGATTTTTCTGATTTTTGAATTATTTTTTGGCTTTTATTTTCCCAATTTAAAATTTTTCGATTTTTTCAATTTCTAACCGTAAAACGTTTGCAAGATTTCAGTTCGATTTTGCAGTTTCAAAATTAAATTGCTATTGTTACCCAATTTTGATTTTTTTTTTCCAAAAAACTGAAGGTTTGGGGCAATAACTCAAGATGGATTCATAGATGACACATGCAAGAATATGTTACTTTATAAAATTTAAATAACATTTATTCGGCAAAATTGTAAGATGACGTCATCAGTTTTTAGAGGGCTCGTAAACGGATAAATTTTGATTATTTTTTATATAATAAACGTTTGCAAGGTTTCAGAGCATTCAGTTTTGAAATTTAAAAATTAAATCGTAACACAAGTTTTTTTTTACAAAAATCGGGATACCTAGGGTTGAAACTGAACACGGATTCATAAACCACAAGTAAAAGAGTATGTTATTTTTATAAAATTTAAATAACTTAAAAATTGGAGATGGATGATAAATTTGAGGAACTCAGACAAGACCGAAGAAAAATAAAATTCATACTCGTCTTAACGTGAGTTTTTTTAAAGCTACATTTTCATATAGCACACAGACCACATGTATCCAGCTCGATCAACTGATTTGACATCTTCAGATTATTTTTGTTCCGGACTTTGAAAAACAGTATTCTTAAAAACAATCAGTGGATACAACTCAAGACTTAAAAGTGAGAACCATACAAAAGTGTGAAATCAAAATGATGCATACTTTTAAACAAAAAGTGAATTACCTGGTAAATCCATTGATAGAAGAGGTTTTCGTTCGTAGTTTTTTCCCCGACGAGCCGCCGCTGCACCGGGCCAGGCTTAGCACGACAAGTCGGGTCCATAAACATCTCAGCAAGTGGAACCTGTCCCAGCAGTGGACCTGCCAAGTACAACACATGTACGTACACAAACACTCGAGTGGTTTAACGGGAAAAACAGTTACACGTGGTGCACATTCACCCCGTGAAAAAATAAACAGACAAACTAGCGAGCAAGCCACAAGATAGGCTTTTATTATAACATGTCACTCCCGGGCTTTAAGAACGGTTTACTCTCGCCGTTTCTCTGTTTGTTTATTTTCAGACGTGTTTGGGATAGCGTGTGCTTGTATGTACTTTTTTACAAATGTTGGACTATATTTAAACTTTATTCGGTAAACAGAAAACCGAGCCGAGGAGGTCTAGAGGGTCGCCGAATGAAGAAGTCTCGCTTTATTTACTGCCGGATCTCCCGAAGTACCGCAACAAGACGTGTTTATTAATTTTTCGTGAAAATTACGGCAAGCCCTCAAGTCTTCCCAAAATTGAAAATCTCTGTCACCCCGCACACTATCTAATAATACATCACTCCGCCACCACCTCAAAACAAAGCCCACCCTCCCCGGTGTACGGTTACAGTTAATTTTATTCTCCTTCAGATTACAAAAGGTATTTTCGTGCCTGAAAATTCGCTCTTGAGCACGTTTTCTTGTAAGTGCGGCATCGTATTACAAACTCGAGGATTGTTCTTTCAAGTCAAGATAGTCTGTCTGGTCTGCATAATTTCATCGAAAAACTTCCCTAATTAACGGATGAGGCTGAAGAGCGACGCACTCCAGAGTCCGGTTCTGGTAATTGTTGCTATAATGGCGTTTATTCAACATACAATGCTCTATTTTGACGCTGCTACACAAATATGATTAATAGTCGGTGCATCCGTTGCATGATAAATGCACTCCGATAGCTTGATTGCCGCATAATCGATGCAGACGTCTTTGTTCGGACCATCAGGGCTAGTCCAGTTATGGGCAAGAATAACAAAAACCAATCTGATGGAAGTGATGGTGGTCAAAAAGGATTTAAAAAAGTGGTCGAAGGTTATTTTGACTGAATTTCCCTCGGTATAGGTCGGATAAACAAATGGACAGCGCAGAAGATAGAAGACAGACAGGCAGACAGACAAACAGAAACGAGAGACCTATATTTTCGTATTCTAGGGATCATGAAACATCAAAAAACATAAAAGTAGACAATCGCCCGATGAACTCGATTACAATACTTACTTCTTTAGCTTACGTTCGGTAAGTAAAATGGATGATTTTTTCAGGGTTTGAATCCACAGTGAGCAAGCATTTGTACTTTTGTCTTTCTAATCAATTTTTCTAGTTATCAATTTAAAATTTTTTCATTTTTCAGATTTTGAATTTATTAAAAAAAATTAATTTCTCGATTTTCAATTTTTCGATTTTTGGTTTTTAGATTTTTATTTAGTATTTTCCAACTTTCATCAGCTTCTCCATTTTTAATTTTTGGAGTTGTTATTTTTTTCATTTTCTCGATTTGTAGTTTCTCAATTTCTCGATTTAAATTTTTATTAGATTTTTAAATAATAATAATTTATTTACAGGAAGTGGTTACTGCATAAATCAAACTATACAAAATAATAATTCAATCTAAATAAAAGTTAATTGAATAGAAAAATTTTTAATTTTAATTTCGTAATTTTTCGTCTTCAGAATTTTTATGTTTAACGCTTATTTTAATTTTCCGTCTCTCAATTTTCTAATTTTTAAATCTTCATTTTTTTCAGTTTCTCAACGTTGTGCTGTTTTGTTTCTCAAATTTTAATTTATGACTTTTCAATTTTTCGTTTCTTCAAATTTACGATTTTACCATTTTTCGACTTTTTATGTATTAGATTTTTAATTTTTTTTTTTATATATTTGAATTTTTAGTTATCTTAATTTTACAATTTTGAAAATTTTTAGATTTTTCGGGTATTAAATTTTTTAATTTTTTTAGTTTTTAATGTTTCATTGTTACAATTTTTAGGTTTTCCATTTTTGATTACTCAGTTTCTCAATGTTTCGACTTTTTCAATTTTTCGATTATTTAATTTTTCAGATTTCCAATTTTACGATTTTCAATTGCTCGAATTCTTAAAGTTTTCAATTTCGTTTTCATTGTTACAATTTTTCGTTTTTTCAGTTTTTCATTTTCTCTATTCCTTTCGATTTTTGAAATACTTTTTCTATTTTTCAATTTTTAGATATTTTAATTCTCGTTGTTTTCAATTTTTAATTTTTCCAATTTTTAATTTTTCCTTATTTTAATTTTATGATTTTGCAATTAGATTTTTTAATTTTTCAATTTTTCTATGTTTCAATGTTACAATTTTTAGATTTTTCATTTTTGATTATTCAATTTCTCGCTGTTTTGACTTTTTCAATTTTTCCATTATTTAGTTTTTCAGATTTTGAATTTTACGAGCTTCAGTTTCTCGAATACTTAAACTTTCCGATTTCGTTTAATTGTTGCAATTTTTCCGTTTTTCAATTTTTCGTTTTTTCTATGCCTTCCGATTTTTGAGATATTTTTTCGATTTTTCGTTTCTAATTTATAATTTTACGGTTTTTCAGTTTTTTAAATTTTTGGTTTTCAATGTTTCATTGTTCCAATTTTTCTAATTGTCATCTTTTCAGATTTTCGATTTTTACTTTAACGAATTCAAGATTTTATATTTTTCCATTTTTAGATATTTAAATTTTTCGTTGTTTTCAATTTTGCGATTTGTCGTCTCTCAATTTTTAATTTTTCCATTTTTCAATTTTTCGCTACTTTGATTTTAAGATTTTGCAATTTTTAGATTTTTCAGTTATGTATTAGATTTTTTAGTTTTCCAGTTTTTCGATGTTTCAATGTCAAAATTTTTTAGGTTTTTCATTTTTGAGTATTCAACTTCTCGGTGTTCCGATATTTTCAATTTTACGATTTTCAATTTCTCGAATTCTTAAACTTTTCGATTTCGTTTCAATGTTTCAATTTTTCGACTTTTCAAATTTGACTTATTTTGATTTTTTGTTTTTTCAATTTGGCAATTTTTCGTCTCCCAATTTTTAATTTTTTAATTTTTCTGTTTCAAAGTTACAATTTTTAGATTTTTCCTTTTTTGATTATTCAATTTCTCGGTGTTTTGACTTTTTCAATTTTTCCATTATTTAGTTTTTCAGATTTTGAATTTTACGAGCTTCAGTTTTTCGAATACTTAAACTTTCCGATTTCGTTTAATTGTTGCAATTTTTCCGTTTTTCAATTTTTCGTTTTTTCTATGCCTTCCGATTTTTGAGATATTTTTTCGATTTTTCGTTTCTAATTTATAATTTTACGGTTTTTCAGTTTTTTAAATTTTTGGTTTTCAATGTTTCATTGTTCCAATTTTTCTAATTGTCATCTTTTCAGATTTTCGATTTTTACTTTAACGAATTCAAGATTTTATATTTTTCCATTTTTAGATATTTAAATTTTTCGTTGTTTTCAATTTTGCGATTTGTCGTCTCTCAATTTTTAATTTTTCCATTTTTCAATTTTTCGCTACTTTGATTTTAAGATTTTGCAATTTTTAGATTTTTCAGTTATGTATTAGATTTTTTAGTTTTCCAGTTTTTCGATGTTTCAATGTCAAAATTTTTTAGGTTTTTCATTTTTGAGTATTCAACTTCTCGGTGTTCCGATATTTTCAATTTTACGATTTTCAATTTCTCGAATTCTTAAACTTTTCGATTTCGTTTCAATGTTTCAATTTTTCGACTTTTCAAATTTGACTTATTTTGATTTTTTGTTTTTTCAATTTGGCAATTTTTCGTCTCCCAATTTTTAATTTTTTAATTTTTCTGTTTCAAAGTTACAATTTTTAGATTTTTCATTTTTGATTATTCAATTTCTCGGTGTTTTGACTTTTTCACTTTTTCCATTATTTAGTTTTTCAGATTTTGAATTTTACGAGCTTCAGTTTTTCGAATACTTAAACTTTCCGATTTCGTTTAATTGTTGCAATTTTTCCGTTTTCAATTTTTCGTTTTTTCTATGCCTTCCGATTTTTGAGATATTTTTTAGATTTTTCAATTTTTGCTAATTTTAATTTATGGTTTTTCGAATTTTGCGATTTTTCGTCTCTTGATTTTTAATTTTTCGGTTTTTCAGTTTTTTTAATTTTTGGTTTTCAATGTTTCATTGCTCCAATTTTTCTAATTGTCATCTTTTCAGATTTCCGATTTTTACTTCGTCGAATTCAAAATTTTCTATTTTTCCATTTTTAGATATTTAAATTTTTCGTTGTTTTCAATTTTGCGATTTGTCGTTTCTTAATTTTTAATGTTTCCATTTTTCAATTTTTCGTTACTTTGATTTTAAGATTTTGCAATTTTTAGATTTTTCAGTTATGTATTAGATTTTTTTAGTTTTTCAGTTTTTCGATGTTTCAATGTCAAAATTTTTTAGGTTTTTCATTTTTGAGTATTCAACTTCTCGGTGTTTCGATATTTTCAATTTTACGATTTTCAATTTCTCGAATTCTTAAAGTTTTCAATTTCGTTTTCATTGTTACAATTTTTCGTTTTTTCAGTTTTTCATTTTCTCTATTCCTTTCGATTTTTGAAATACTTTTTCCATTTTTCAATTTTTGCTTGTTTTAATTTCGTATTTTTTTTTAATTTTGCATTTTTTATAGATCTCTTAATTTTTAATTTATCGGTATTTCAATTTTTACTTTTTGGAATTCAAATTTTTCGATTTTTCAATTTTTAGATATTTTAATTCTTCGTTGTTTTCAATTTTTAATTTTTCCAATTTTCAATTTTTCGTTACTTTAATTTTATGATTTTGCAATTAGATTTTTTAATTATTCAATTTTCCTATCTTTCAATGTTACAACTTTTAGATTTTTCATTTTTGATTACTCAATTTCTCGGTGTTTTGACTTTTTCAATTTTTCCATTATTTAGTTTTTCAGATTTTGAATTTTACGAGCTTCAGTTTCTCGAATACTTAAACTTTCCCATTTCATTTAATTGTTGCAATTTTTCGGTTAATTTTAATTTATGGTTTTTCGAATTTTGCGATTTTTCGTCTCTTGATTTTTAATTTTTCGGTTTTTCAGTTTTTAAAATTTTTGGTTTTCAATGTTTCATTGCTCCAATTTTTCTAATTTTCATCTTTTCAGATTTTCGATTTTTACTTTGTCGAATTCAAAATTTTCTATTTTTCCATTTTTAGTTATTTAAATTTTTCGTTGTTTTCAATTTTGCGATTTGTCGTCTCTCAATTTTTAATTTTTCCATTTTTCAATT